ATTAGCATGAGTTAGTAGAGACGTAAATGCAGAGTAACAATCAAGCTTTTCCTTCTTTGAAAAGGAAAAGGTAAGACCCTCAGCATGAGCAAATATCTTTTGATGAAGACCCAGGTTTACTAAACAGTAGCATTCACATTTCAGAGAGCTGCCAAGTTAGGATCCACTAGCAAGAAGCCCCCCCCCCCCCCCCCCCCCCCCGTCCCCTGCGCCACACCGCGCTCCCACTGCCTTGCTTGCAAGACTGAGCTCGGGCGGAGAAAGGCCGCAGAGGTGAGAAGCTGCCTACACCAGGAGGCGCCGCAGGTAAAGGAGCTGCAGGCATTTAGAGGAAAATCAGCTTCTCACTGGATGGAACAATTTTGAGAAAAACGAGACAGAAAAGTGAGGTGGGCAGTTGTTAAGACCTTCACGCTCCTCCCCACAGGCAGCTGGGAGTCAAGAAGAAGGGTGTGTTGCTTCACATGAGGATGTCTAAATGATGCTGGAGAAGCCCAAGGGTCAGCGCTAGCTCGCAACTCTCCCCCGGAGCGTAGCAGTGAGGAGCTGAAGGCCCCGGCGGTCCCCCTCCCCCGTGGTATCACCTAACTGGACACCAGAAATGGGGTGGCGGGGAGTGGACAGGCGCAGGGTCCGGAAGCAGAGCCCACGCCTACAGCAGCAGGCGGCGCCTTGCAGGACACCCTGTACCTGCAAACGGGGACAAACAGAGCACGGTGCACCCAGGGACGGCAGGGGACACACGCTGAGGTGCTTGTGCGTGACGACGCCCAGATGGGGTGAAGTCCGGGTCGAAGCCAGCAGCAGTGAACAGCGGCACGGGAGCTGCAGAGACAGCAGTGCCTCCAGCTAGGAGCAGCCTCTCCAAGGCTGCTTTACGGCAGGGTTCAGTGAGGAGCCATGGGAATTTACGTGAATCTGAGGTCCCCCTTCACCCCTACAGCCACAAAATCACACCAACATCTCCCTCCCTCACGTGCCTGGTTATGAGACTGGGAAACAGAGACTCTGAGAGGCTGGGTCTATGGCCTGAAGAGCTGGCGCTTTGGCCTAAAAGGATTGCAAAACCACTGTCCAGCACTCAGTGCAGTTATCAGGTGCTACTAAAATTTATACACTCCCCCAATTTTCAGATGCAGTTGGTTTCTGAGGAAGACCAAGTGAGTTATAGATTTAAAAAAAAAAAAAAAACAACAACCCTATAATTTCTTTGAGCATCTGTGGGTAATAGAAAGCGTAAGTTTATAATTCTGCTATATTATAAATTAACAAGGAAATAGAAATAGTGTTCAATAAACCAATTAACAAGAAAACTCTTTTATTGATAGAAAAGCAAAACAAATTTTCCATGAATTCTAATATGTTTTATTCTGTCTGTTGGATAGAGTTGAGTTCGAAAATCGGTTTGTCTCTTGTTCTCGTCATGGTTAATTTATCTTTCTACAAAAACAACCCAGTGAAATCACAAGTGTCAGGGAATATTACTGCCTCAAACCACCTTAATATAACAGTGTCTCCATTTAAAGTGAATTAAATTCTTATTCTTAGCTAGTATTCTTATATGACACCAATTATATTATTGGGTTGGTGACATTAATAAGGATTGATGTCAAGTCACTGAAGCTGTTTCTTAAATGTAATCAAATAAAACAAAAACCAAATCAGAATCAGATTCATGTTCAATCCAACAATGGCATAACCTTTCAAAGACAGGTCAGTTCACTCTAGCGTGAACTAAGACATCTATCAGTCACAATCACTGGTCCCCAAAGAGGGAAGCCAGAGAAGCACCTTTCCAGATTCAGACTGGACACGGAAATGGACCTGAGGAGCCTGACCAGACTAAAGTTTTGGGTGCTGCTGTAACCCAAAGTATGTCGGCTAACAATTATTCAACTTTCATCCACCAGAAAGCACTTAAAGCATATATTTGCACACTGGAAGAAAAGGAATTTTAGCCATTATCTAATTAATTCAACTGAAACAAATAGAATGGTGAGGCATTCAAATGCCAAAGTTTTTTTTTTTAAAGCTAATATATCCATATTTTCCCAAAAATACCTATCAAACTAAGCAGATAATGGTCATATTTTACTTTATCTTCAGCTACACAGATATACGTTGTATTCCACGCAAAGTTCCTGAACCCCTTTTAAAATAATTTTGCTTTCTACCTAAGTATTTAGACCACCCGGATATGGTCATAAATTCATTATCATTGCTACAGTTGCGTCACTAAGAAAGGAAGCTTATCTAATTACCAATTATCCGAGCCAACCAGGACTCTCCCCTTTCATTAAATAAAGAGAAATCCATTCAGATTTGACCCCAGAGAAATAAGTACATGCATATACCTGACTTCTCAGTATCCTCGCTGGGTAAGAGGATGGAACACCTCATTCTTCTAGTGACAGAAAAGAGAATACAAAAAGTCCATTGTAAATTTGTACAAAATGTATGCATATATAAATACATATCTATGGGTGTATATAAACTCTAAAGAAGATTATATCCATCTACAGCTTTAAGGTTCAGAGTCCTACAGAATTGACATAATAGTATTCGCTCTCCAGTTTTCCCATTTTTAAGAACAGTAAGAATCAAGCATGCCACCTTATTAATACTGAATAGCAAGTGCAGAAGTTGAGCTGTAGCTATAGGGATTTGAAGCAATTAGTTTGACGGGACATCAGTGAATAAAATCCTTAAAATAAATTTAACTATTTCAAGACTGCCTTTTGTTTCATATAAATGTAGCCCGAATGCCCTGTTGGTAGCTTCCCAAATTCCTGGGATTATCAATTGAACTCTGTAAGAAGCATTACTTCAAATAGGGCCCATGCAAATTGCTTGGCTATGTGCTTATTGCAATGATTTGTTGAGTGGACTGGATTCCTACAATTTCATGTAATTCCCTTGAGAAATCTCAAGTGACACCACCAGAAGCTTAGGGTTCTGCATATATTAAACTCGGCATTAAATTTGACTCACAAACTACATTACCTTTACACAGAGCAGAATTTAAAATGTTGAAACATTGTCAATTAATGGAGAAAGGTATATATTTTAAAGATACACAATAAAAGTATAGTATGGATGTGTGCCCATGTGCAGAGGTATCAAGATCTGTTTTAAAACGATACACATGATGCTTTTATTTCCCTTTTTTTCCTCTATTCCTTTGTGGAGGGAAGTATATAGGACATCTTCATAATTATCCCCTAAAGTGCACAGGCTGTTTCTTGGGTGGGGATTATTATTGCATGCCTCGAATGCACTGTGATCCATAAGGCAAGAACATATGAGTAGCTTCAGCACCAAGGAAATAGAATCCTCATCCAGCACTGCTCACAACAGAACATCTTATTGCTTTAATCAAATGGGAAACTATTCACTGTAAAAAGTGCACCAAATAAGAGGGAGAAAGTAATATCCATGCACTTAGTGGAGCTCACTGGAAATAAGGAAGTCCCATCCGAGTTCCTAAATCTATTCAAATTTCAAGTCTGAAATTCATTCTGTAATAAGGTATTATAAAGCTACAGCAGGGTGAGAGTGGGTTACGAAAATTAATGGACTTTCGTCTTCACAGTGCCTTAGTCTTCTGATGTACAGTGTAGATCTCTGATGCACTAAAGGATTCCCTAGTGGCCTGAGGGAGTTAATGCACTCTTTTACCTATCACTAGGAAGTGACTAAGGCACTGGAGAAAATCTGTTTCATTGTTTAATGTATTGTACCCAAAGATTATACCTGATCTTGCTAATTTTAAAATATACATGCTTAAATGATGATCTTCTGTGCTTCAGGAAAATACTTGAGTATCTTATGGGTCACTAAAATTAGTGTTATTGAATTGTTTTTATAAAAGATGCAGACTAAGCTTGGGCAATTCAATACATGATCTAAAACCTTGGAGGTAATATTTTCTCTGGATAAGAGCACACATGTCTGGAACCAAGACATGAAATCTAGAACTACTAGTTATTTGGGAGAGGGATGCACTTTAGGGGGACTGCTACCTTACATCCTATAGGTTAGTAAGGACTCTTTTGGTTGAAAATTTTCTAGAGCATTCTCATTAATACATTTTCCAAACATTTGAATACCTGTCAAAAAATTGGTTTCCAAGAAAGGATACCACTGCATATATTTAAGGTGGTAATATGTGTCTAGCCCCTTCTATCACCAATCCAAGGGAAACAAAGTGGTAGATAACCATAGGTGGACTCCATTTCTAACACAGATGCTCTTGTCTGGCTTCATGAGAGAAACAAATATTGATCTTCTCTCATTTTCCTTTCTTGCTCAGTCTTTCTTCATGTGTTCAGTGAAGTTAGGTAAGCCAGACACACATACCAAAGAGCTCCTTCTTTGCTGCATCTTACATGCAGGCACAGATTTCTAACAGAAAAAAAAAAAAAAACGGCAAACCTTTTTAACTTCTCCTGAAACATTAAACGTCTCTTGAAATTTGCATGTCCTGTCATCCAAATTGCCCAACATCCCCACCAGTCTCTCCTCCAAACACACACAGTACAAGCAAGCACACACACCACTGCTTCCAAGTGGTAACTGCATGCAGGGAGGGCTACAGGCACTGTTTAAATATTAACCAGGTTTTAATAGATGGCATTCCTGCACATCCATTGTTTGTTTTTGTTGTGGTTGTTTCTGTTATTCGCAAAACAAAAAAGAAAACATGTGTGTCATCTTTTTATAACAGTCTACTACAGAGGAAGGTACAAAAAGAACACTTCTAGAAATAGCAGAAGCCAGGCCTGCACCACTGAATTCTTCATCCAGTGGTTACCATTATATCAACAGCTAGAAATTAAGAATAAGAGTATACAATTTGGAGGACGTAGTACAGAACTGTAGTTTGCTTCTGTATTTGGTACCAATAGAATAAATATATAATAAAGGTGCACTTGTTCTAAAATTAAAACAAACATTCTTGGTTGGTTAGATACTGCACTTTCAGTACTGCACATCACCTAATACTTTTTTTTTTTTACAAAAAAGGTAACTTATGCAATGTTTAATAAGAAAACCAATAACACACGCAAACCCTATTGTAGAAAAAGAAAAAAACCAACAAAAAAAAACTAGAATAGTCACTTTCCAAAACAGCCCCTCTCCACCTGCACTACCAGAGGAAAGTAACCAGCTCAGGGAGGCGATTTCAGCACCTGACCTGGATGGACAGCTCCCGGGCCCGCTGACTCCTGAAAATGCCAGGAGGCAAAGATAGACAGGGGTGGGGTTGAGCCAGGGGGCTAAAGCAATAGATTCTTTTAAAACCTCGTTTAAATATTTCAATTTGCTAGTGCTCGGCCAGCGAGGGACATTTCCAAAAGTAAATGAAAATGTTTAGTCTGGAAAAAAAGAACGATTAACCTAGGGGTGAGTAAAGAGCGGACCAGAGAGCTGTACCTGTCAGAAGCACTTTTTTTTCCCCCTAGGGCTGTCTCTGAGGCCTCTTGCAGTTCTGGTACTTAATGGAAACTTTCAAAAATAATAATATGCTGTTGCCCGAGCCCAGCTGAGGGTGGGGTTGGAGAGGGAGGAAGCTGAAGGAAAAGTGAACGTTTAGGGGCGGGTGAGTGGAGGGAAGGTAACGGAACCTTAACTTGACAGCTATGTACAACACGCGAGGCCCCCTCCGCTCCCTTGGCTCCGGGGGCCAATGTCTTTTATATATTTGGTAGCTTAAGCAGTTTCTCCTCCTTGTCCAGGGGGGTGCGGGGTGGAGAGGGAAGACACATCTGCCATTGACAATGAGAAATTATGTGATTTGTCATGCGCTTGGATTGTGTTATTAGTATAATTACTATAAATATTAATAATAAAGTATTATTGTCAGCATTATTTCTTCTTCCGAGACTTTCCTTGCCCAATATTTACAAATACCGCACAGTGCCTCGGCGGAGGAGAAACAGCGTGGAGGGCAGATGAGGAAAGGTGGAAGAGGGACGAGGCCGGAAGGCAGTGGGGGGCGAAAGAGGGTGGGAGGGGCAGCCGGGAGGACCAAGATGCGGACAGGAGAACCGGGAGAAGAGGCGGGCTGGACAGTCAGGACAGTACCACCGTCTGCAAAAGCCCCTCGCCAGGCGTGTCCGAACAGGAGGAGGCCGCATGTGCTCCTTGAGGACTGGGGGCCGGGGCAGGAGGGGCAGGAGGGCTGGGGCCCTGGCAGGGGAGCCCGGGGGGCGTGCAGGAGGCGCTGGAGGGGCCGAAGCAGGCAGAGTCCCGGGGCTGCCTCTCCAGCCGGGTTTCTTTCGCCTGGGTGGGGGCCTGGCCACCCGCCCGGGGCAGCCCCCTGCCTCCACGGCCCCCGCTGCAGTGATCCCGCTCGTATTCCTCCTGGGCCCTCTGCATCTTCCGCTTCTTCATCCTGCGCTTGTGGATGTGGAAGGTGGAGAGGGACAGCACGATGAGGCAGAAGATGAGGGTGACCAGGACGATCAGCACCAGCGTGGAGGAGAAGGACTGGAAGAGCTGCTGTCCCACCTGCGTAATGCAGGTGCCGCCGCCTGCGCTCGCACCACGGGCGCTCGCGTTGCCGCCGCCGTTGGGGGAAGCAAAGGTCCGGTTGAGGAGACACGGCGGCAGAGCCAGCCTCAGCTCCTTGGGCGCCCGGGCACTCATCGGCGCTGGGCTGGGAGGGGCTGGGCCCACCAGACTTCCTCTCCGGGCACGGCACGCTGTTGCCACCAGCCAAGAACAGGACGGAGCCCACGCCACCCGAAACTACTCCCTGATGCGGGAGGGAATGTGCACGAGCGAAGGGCTGAGGGAGCGAACTGCGGGCCAAGGAGCCAGCCAAGGGAATCAGCGGTGCCCAGGAGATCCTCTCCAGACCCGCTCGGAGCGCGTGTCCGTGCGCCCTTTTCCTTTCCCGAGGCACCAGGCTGCAAAGAGAACAGGCTCAGTTAGGACCCGGGTGGCGGCCTGGGGAGTGGGGAAGACCTGGAGGATCAGCCGCCTCTGCAAAGCGGCCCTCGGGGCCCAGCGCCTCATCTGCGCGCTGCGCTCTACTCCGCAGCAGCCCGAGGACCCCGGCCACACGCCCCCGAGCTGCACGCCAGGGCCTCGGGCTGAGGCGGGGTGCAGCTCGGCCCCCTCACTGCAAGGGGTCGGAGCTAGCCCCGGGGAGATGCATATTACTCAGCAGATGAGCAGCCTCTGACGCCCTCCACAACTTTCTAATTGCAACAGACACGCAGCCGCCAGGAACACAGCCCCTTCTGCCCAGAGCGCCGACTCCCCTCTTTCCTGCATCCCTCCATGGGTGTTTTTGCCGGGATCCGACCCTTCCCTGCAGCCACCCCAGCAGCCAAGGGGGCTTCGAGTGGGCAGCCCTCCGTTTCCTTCCCTCCTCCTGCAGATTCTCTCCCCCGGACCACGTCAGCTCCCTTGGGTCCCGTTCCCCTGGGGGTACCCCAGGCAGGCACCACATCCCACCCCACCCCGCCTTGTCTGCTGCTGACGCACAGGAGCCAAGACCGCACTCCAGCCTCTCCCCAGCCCGCCGCCCTGCTGCTCCCCCCACCCCAGGAAAAAAAAGCAGGTGCAGACCCTTTCTTCGCGACCGCCCATTCCCACAGAGGTCTCCCTTCTCGCCACCTCTCCGCGCCCCCTCCCACTTTCCAGGCTCTTGCCTCTTTCTAGAAGGACCAAAATCGGAAGGGGGAGGGTTCCCGCGTGCAAAGTTTGGGGAACGGACCTTTTCTCTGGCCTTTTCAGATCCAACCCAAGGGCCCTGAGGCTCTTCTGGGGGTGGGAGCCAGGCAGACCCCAGCTCGCACAGAGCCCCCTGGGCACTCGCGAGGGGCTGTGGCAAACTGTTGCACTGCAGAGCAGCGAGGCTGTGCGCAGGCTGGGGCCGGGGCCGGGGCGGGGGCCAAAGCTCTGACCAGGGGTGCCTGCGCAGGCCGCGGGGTCCGTCCTCCGAACCCCTGCACCCGGCCGCCCCAGCTTCCAGCTGCACCGAGTCCCTGAGTCCCTTACCTGGGGCCGCCAGCTGGCTGCAGGAGGGAGCCCCCACCGCGCGGCTGCAGTGGCGGCTGCAGAAGGCGCGGAGTGAAGGGGCCAGAGACCTAACCGAGCTGCCGCCGCTGCGCCGCCGCCACCGCTTCGGGGAGCTCAGCTCGCAGCCTATTGCCAGAGAGGCCGGTGACGTCAGGCAGCCACCGCCAGGGCTCCGAGCCACCCCTCGGGCCCCCACCCCACCCTCTTACCCCAACACCTAATCCCCGCCGAGCGAGCCTCAGCCACAAGCATTCCCAGCCCGCCCCCCCACATCCCCACCTCCAACCTGGGCTGCCGGGGGGCCAGGAGGAGCAGCCGCCCCGCCCTGTGAGCCGCCCACCTTCTGCACTCCTGGGTGGGGAAGGGTTGAAGCTCCCGTTCGCTGGCTGCCCGTTTCCTTACCCTCAACCCTGGTCCACAGACTCCCTCATTTTTACACTCCACGCAAGCCTTTTCCCTCCAGGCACACGCTGGATTTTCTCCCAGGCTGACGAGGACCTCTGCTGCCTCCCCAGTCCTGGTGTGTGATGCTGGTGTGTTTTGGAACAGAAACTACACTGCCTGCGTGAGGGGAGCCGGAGGGGCATGGTGAAGGCGAGCGTGGCACGAGCTGAAATTCAAACCTAAAGGTGAATTTTACTTTCTCCTCCCCACAGGAATCTTCAACTTATTTTCACTCTACCTGACTCATGACCCTTCCTCAAACACTCATTTCCAGGCCAAGACCTTCTCTGGTGTCTGAAACACTCCTGTGCAGACAAGCTGGACCCTCCTGAGCACACACAAGGACAGGGGGCGGAAATCATGCAGAGCAGTGAGCCATCAACTGCCCTAGGAAAATTCCCAGGATCAGCCCTGGTAGGAACCCCCTTCACTGGCCCCTGTGCCTGTTAAACAGCTTGATGTCGGCCATGGTGTTAACAATAACCTTTCCACACAGTGGAGAGAACTTCCTGAAAGCTTCTCAGCAACCTACCTAAATCTGGGCAGAAACTGACAGACTACAGCTTGAGAAACCTTGGGCAGACAGGAACAGAGCATCTGGTTATACAGTGGCTAACTTTAAAATGAAGCCTCTCATTTTTCAACCGGAGAAGCCGGCTTTGAACAGCAACTAAAGACAATGGATGGTTCTGAAGGCATTCAGGGTCTTATAAATGGATACTTTTCTCTTTGCTCCCTGTCCTGTATTCTCCCCTGAGTCCAACACAGTGCCTGTCCAATACATACTTGCTAAATTGAGAAGCGCAGTTTACGTAACTGCGCTTTCCTGCTCTGCATCAGCACTGGGAGGGTTTTGTGAAAATGAGACTCTGCCATGGGGAGAAAGGGCTGTTTAAGAGCTAGGGGTCCCTTCTGATGATGTGTTCCCTTCTAGTTCCATTCTGACTTTTCCTCCCCTATCATAAAACACATGGAGAAAGAAAGACATCATTTCTTCCCTAAATGCTGTTTTCATGTATTTAAATAAGTCATCAGCTTTTCCTTCCTAATTGTCTCAATGTTTGAAAAATATCCCACTCTGAGCAAATAATTCAGTAATGATGAATATTCATGATTGCTTGGGAGCTCAATCAATGTCCTTGGCTGCCAGAGTGAGACCCCCAAAGCTGACCCCAAAACTAGCTTAGCTCTCCAGCTTGGAATGAGGGTATGTGATGCCTTGTAAAAGCCAACTGCCACATTTGAACATTATAACTTTGGAGGGGTTTGAGGGAGAGAATGGTGAGCCTTCTCTTCACTCTAATCACTAAGTGAGATTTTGACATTTGACACCTGATTAAGCCCCATTTTGGGGCACTCTCTTAGCTCCTGAAAAGTTGAGTCTAATCAACATTTTGTAAAGCAAATCCAATTTTGAATACTCCAAAAAGAGATCTGGCTATTTAAGGAGACTCTTTAGAAAAACTGTCTTATAAAGCAAAGACTTTACATAATTAGAGTTAACTCTCACTGTTCTGTTTTCTAGACTTGGAGGAGTGAATTATCTGGTTTTCCCAGTAAGGAACATACACACCTCTACAACATGTTATAGTGGGACTACCATGAATATGTAACGGGATTTCTTTTGCACACAGAGCTTCGAAGACATATGATGAGGTGGCCATTGTCTTACTCTTGTTATAAATGATAACCATCTGGCATACCGGGAATACATGGCTGGGGCAACATCCTCCTGAGAACGGTTGCCACTGTTTTGTCATCAGACTTCTCAAGTCACACTTCTGAGAGTGGAGGGCCAAGAAGCTGAGATTCCCAGAATCCTACCTTGTGATGGGAAAACCTCTCTGGACCCAAGCTCTTTCCAAGCATTCAGCTACATGTAAAAGTTACTCTCAAGTTTCATCTCCATCTGCCTTAGAGAGAAGTCCTGCTAGGGCACCTGGCTCCTCAACCCAAAAGGCACTGAAGCCATAACAACACCGCTAGGCATATTATTACTGACAAAATATTTACCATGCACTAGACTGTCCTGAACTCGCCACACATTACAGTGAATCCTCAGTATGACTCTACAGCATTATTTTTTTGCCATAATCCAAAATCATTTATTCATTCACTTATGTGCTCACCAAAGATCTGAGTACCAACATAGTAGATGAGGAAACTAAAGCACAGAGTAGTTCAAGACCATGCCCAGCTCACTCAAATTAAGACCAGTTAAGTCTTCACTGAATGACATGGGGTCTTAGAACTGAACACGTAATTGTTCCACCTAAGTGGAACAGTGTATAACAAAACCAGTTTCACCAGAGGCTACTTTATGGAAGGCGATCCACACAAATTCTACTCAGTGAATGTAGATGACAGCGAACTGAAGACAGAAGGAAGGGCCAGACTTCTAAACGAAGTATTTTACTATAGTGCTGCTGAAAATGAAGGTCTTCCTAAAGCCATCCGCACAATTTTCACTTAACCAAGAAATACTTCCCCTCTCAACGCATAGAACCATGTTGGCGTACTATTTGGGGGTTTACACTGATTAGTAAATAGCTGAAACATGAAAAAATTTCCAGGGTTATACAGGCATGTGAAGCTGTAAAGGACTCATTTCCCAAATCTTCAACCTCTGTGTCTAACTGTCCCAAAAATGTATATATCTAAAGTTAAAATTTATACTGTGTCACCTCTCCTTGCATTTCTCCTACTTTAGAAAAGAAAAATCCCTGCTCACCCACCCCCAGCCTTACTTTCAGGCATTTCTATGGGGAACCCAACAAGGAATGCCTGGAGGATGGATAACTCCTGAGGAGGTAATAGCAAAGCAAAAAGAAGTATTGATGAGGCAGTGCCTTATTTCATCCGGGGGACAAACTCATTTTGTCTTACCTATCTCTGTATTGATTTATCACAGAATTAAATTTAGAAGTGAGATGGCTGTCACAGGGACGCAAGTATTCCAGTTTATTTAGATTGAAAAATGAACCCAGACCTTTATCCTACAGAAAGTAAGCCTGATCTGTCTATTTGAATTGACAATTTGAACTGCATTTGCCTGCTAGGCTGTATGGAAGACATATTATACAAATTCAATGAACTAAATCTATCAATCTGAGGCTTTGACAAAATAATTTAAATACATATAGGATATGGATTGTGCAAAAAATGGTGTCCCT